TATGTTTTTTCACCGTAAAATAAAAACGATTATTTTGAAACATATTTAGTGTGATTTACCAGTATATTCACTATTTATGCGTGCATTGTATTGTGGATCTATAATAACACAAAGAAGTGAGGCACAACGGGTTCCTATGTTCCACAAAAATACAAAAGTGCTGCGTTCACAAAGCGTTCATGATCGACTGTAGCGATTGTAAAATCTTCAATTAACACTTCCATGAAAACACATAGTCTATTTACCGTAATACTGCGAATTAAAAAAAAAATAAAAAGACCAAACTGCAACTGTTAAAACAATTCACGTTATAGTAAAGGGTATACATATACCGAAAAGTAGAAACTTAAAAAACATATTTTAAAACGTCGATAATTTCATTAACCATAATCTCAAAACAAACTCTGGAGTTAGGCCACCATTCCACTCATAACCTTGATTTACATCAGTCCTGGGATCTCAATTTGAAATTTCGTCTTTTCGCGCCTCTACTAAAAGATCTAACAATTAGATCTCTACTCTTTAGGAGAAATAGCCTCCCTTTCGTTATTTTTTTATATTACTATTACAAGTCACATAATCAATTCTCCCTTGTTTTATGTTAAATTGAATTCCAGGTGTCACGATAAATAAATAAATAGAACAAAATATATATTGTATTAACTATTGTAATTTAAATGCGTGATACTATTATGCATTAGGTCTGGTGGGATGTATGCGTGAAATACGAGTGAACGACGAGAGAATAGAGCCTAGATACGTGATCAACACCGAAAGAGTGATCGGAGAGGTGGCTCTGGATAATTGCCAATTCGTGGACCCTTGTACCAGACCGAACACTTGCGAGCATGGTGCCAAGTGTTCGGTGAAGGAGGAAGGAATCACCTGTGATTGCGTCGACACTGGTTACTTCGGCAAAAATTGTCACTTCGGTGAGTGAATTCGAGAAATTCTTCGGAAAATTCACAAGAAAATTACACAAGGGAACAACATAAAAAGAATTATATCTTAGAGATACAAATAGAGACTCCGAGTTTAACAATTGATCGAGTATATTAATTCGAACATCGTTCGAGTGAGAAAATTTCTGACCACAAGTTAATTCCGAAAAATGATTTTTCAGCTGAATACAGGAAGACTTGCGAAGAATTAGCTTTATTGGGCTACACTCAAGACGACGTCTACAAAATCGACATCGACGGAAACGGCAGATTTCCGCCAGCTCTCGTGAAATGCGAGTTTCAATCTATCGAAGACTCGACGAAAACTATCGTCGAGCATAATCTACCCTCGCAAGTCGACGTCAGATCCATCGCTGAGTCTGATTTCACGTTCAACATCAAGTACCGACAATTCACCGCGGAGATGCTGCAAGAATTGATCTCACACTCGTTGTACTGCAGTCAGTACGTCAAGTATGATTGTTACAAAGCGCCTTTAGAGTTGCACAGTGCCACTTGGTTTCTTAGCTCGAAAGGAACTACCGTTGACTACATTGGAAACGTGAACAGAGGATCCTGCCCATGTGGAAGTGAGTGTTGAAGTCTTGCCGCTGTTTAATTGAAAATGAACTTGCTATGTGAAATAATAACGAACCTCAGTTTGTATCAAATTTGGTACAGAAGTGAATTTGTAGAGTAGGTACAATAGCACGAATACAAATCCTCGTAAATTTTTGAAATATTCTCAAAGTTGAGTTTGACGCGGAGAGCTAGTCATTTCATCCCACAATATTAATAGTCTCTTGTGTTCGCGTTTAGTGAACAGAACATGCGTAGACCCGAACCTAAGCTGCAACTGTGATGTCTCCGCCGGAAATGCTGGAAAATGGCTATCCGACGAAGGATACTACGAAACTCCAGACTCTTTGGGAATCACAGGAATGGTGTTTCTGCAACAAAGGGATCTCGAGGAAGATGCACAAGGACGAATCACTTTGGGACCTCTGGAATGTGTCGAAACCAGTGAGTAATGCTCTGATTACCCAAACAGTATTGTAGGAACCGACGACGGAAAAATATTGAGGGACCCCCAACGGGAATCAAACCCAGGACCCTTCGGCTTAGCAAGCCGAGGCTATGCGCACTACACTAACTACTCCCTCTCTATTCTCCCTTGTCCGTTTCCTATTTAGGTATGGAGGCCCCGATACTGCAGTATTGTAGGAACATAGGAATTCCTTGTGTACCACTTGGAGTGCAGCAATAGGAATTCCTTTGTTCCACTTTGTGTCAAGAACGAATTTTTCCTGGAACTTTTTGAACAGAGTAGTAATTATTAAAATAAATTTTTACCAAACAACTGGATACAATTCAATTATTTTTCAGATACACAGAAATACGTCGTCACTTTCACGACTTCTCAGTCGTACATCGAAGTGCCAGGTTGGAGAAAAGGAGATATAGCTTTCAGTTTTCGAACAACCGGGGAGAAAGCTATTCTGTTATATCAACCACCTATCAGAAGCAATTACCCATCCTTCATGGTTGCTCTAACTTCAGAATATCGATTAACGTTTAATTTCACTTTAAACACCGGCACCATAAGGGAATTAGAGGTTAAGAGCAGAAGAAAATTGAACAACGGCGAATGGCAGAAGATCTGGATCGACTACAACGATTATCATGTAAGATTCATGATCAATACTGACTACCAAATGGTCGACCTGTTGCCTGAAGAAGAATTCGGACCCTTTGAGGGCTCCATGTTCATAGGTGGAGCCACTGCGTGAGTACTTTTCACGAAAATTCTTTTGAAACCATTGCTCAGAGCTACTCAGTCGCAATACTGACAAATTAATTTTATTTATTTACACGTAGAAATTGGAAAATTAAAAGATAGAACCTGTTATACAGTTCGTTCAACTCTGTTTACTTATCAATGATCTTAGAATTCAAATGAAAGTGAAGAATAACTTTATATGATGCTCTAATCACACTACAACCTAACAGCTAACTCAAGTTTTTATTTTCAACGATCTCTATTCGTAAATAGCATTCTGAAAAATATCAGCTCGAAATGTCCAAAGAGTATGAGTACAAAACTAACTCAACTTATACATATGGAGATAATTTATCGTTTCTTTGGACGATTAAGTTAAGTTACCTTTGTACTCATACACCTTGGACAGTGAACGTGTTGAACATGTTTCGATAGCTTCGATAGTTTATCCAAAACAAAACGACAAATGATCATGGTCCGTTAGGGAGCACTTGAGGACTTCTTCCGTCCGTCAGGGACTCATCGGCTGTTTTCGAGGTTTAGTCGTGAACGGCGAGATCCTGGACATTCACAGCTACATGTCAGTCCACCTGTCCGAAATCATAAAAGACTGCAAGCCTTCCTGTCAGCCGAACAAGTGTGAGAACGGTGCCAGGTGCGTAGAACTGTGGAGCAACTTCGAGTGCGTATGCGAGAACAGATGGGCTCACCTTGGCACCTATTGCGAGAGGAGTAAGCTTCTGCACCCACTTTCAACTCACCTGTCGTCGAATTCCTTTCACATTGATCCTCTTAATTTTCATCCTTGACCAATTTCTCAGACATAAACAGCAAAGCGTTGACGTTCACGTCGCAAGGCGCATTCCTGGGGAAGAATTACTTCGGCACAGATGAAGAAGACGAAGAGAAGTTACTGTTGAAGAGTATACTCTTGCAAAATATCCTGATAAACCTGAGGACCTACGATACCCATTCGTTGATCCTTTATGCGAACGACCACTTGAACAACTTTGCTCATCTATACATTTACAATGGCACCAGCATAGTGTACCTCTTCAACGCTGGCAACGAAATAAAGAATATTACTGTGGAGCATCCAGGTAATACAACGAAACCAAAGTGTTAGAAATGACAAAGAAGAAACATCTTTAACCAACGAGTGTCGACTAATTACGATGAAAATTACAGGCGTAAACACAGGAATTTCCGTTCAAATCGCGATAATTCGAACCGAGAAAACGACGACGTTGCACGTGAACGAGTACAACGCTACCCTAAACGCCACTCCAATATTGCTGGACACATATTCGAACAAACCCTGGGTGAACCCAGAAAAGGAGGTGCTGGCGCCTCAAAGACCACCGGCACCGCCTACCAACTACTTCCAGGTGAGATTTCAGACTTTCGAGTTGAATGGAATGTACGCAATGATCAGCAATCTTACATAGGTGAATCTAGGGGGTTTCGATCCGGACGCTCTGCTGAGAGTCGGCAAGGAGGACATGCAGATAAAGGGTTACGTTGGATGTCTTCGAGGACTAATGATAGGGGAGTACCTGGTTGACCTGCCGAGCTTGGCAAACGAGGCGAATCACGAAGGTAGCAGAGGTGTACTGCCCAATTGTCAGATGAAGTGTGACGCTATGCCTTGCAAGAATTTAGGCATCTGCACGGAGGACTTCGGCAGACAGGAGTCCTCGTGCAACTGCGAGCTGACGTCCTATTTCGGAGAGCACTGTGCCGACGGTGAGACATTTCATTAGGCTGGCCAATAAGTTTGTGCGGTTTTTAACGTCTAAATGACACAGCCAAATTTTTTCATGAAAACGTAATTTATTAAAAAAAGTTACGGATCATTACACCCTGAAATTCCTGGCAAAGCTGTCAAACTTCCGCGTTTCGGAATTACTCGAACTCAGTAGGACAAAATACGCATTTTCTGCTAGAAAAGGGAGCGGACTTCAGCGGTGAGAGCGTTCTGCAACGCGAATTCGACATTGTCGGTGAAGTGAGTCAGGTGAAGGTTCAACTAGCTTTTTCGACCAACGAACTTCGACAACGCACCACGGCGCTTCTGCTTTTGCAGTCGGAGAATAAGTAAGCTCTCTACGATTCTTTGCTACTCCTTAAGGACCTCGTACACCTTGAGATCTGTATCGATACATCGAACGTCAAACATTTTTCGCCGTCTGTAGCTAAGGACTAGCCCGAAGTAGTTTCAGGACAGTGACAGAGATTGTGAAATACACATCTCAACGTGTACGGGTGTCCTTTATTCGTTGATCTCCGAAATTCTGACCACATGGAATTTTCTTCGAATCCTGGATGTCTTTCGAAAGTTTTTTCTTCCAGAAGAACCTACTACTTACTGGTTGCGCTGACGTCAGAAGGTCAGCTGATCTTCGAAGAAGACAGAGAAGGCTCCGCTTACGGAGTGCGTCTGAACGACAGGAATTTCCTAAACGGAGCCCGGCACAGTGTTTATTATGTCCGGGACAATAATACTGCAACGCTTCTGGTACGTAATGTATAAGGTGTCTCACTAATAACAAACTGCTAAATTATTTCCATTGTTGTTGGAAGTAAAAAATGAAAATGACCGAAAGGAATCTATATAGTTTCAGGATGTACATTTTGCAAAAAATCTTCTCAAGGCTATAACAGTGTATTAAAATGTTTTTTATAACACCAAGACGAATTCAGCGACCTATAGAATTATGACCTAAAAGTGACCTTAAACAGTAAAAAAAAATGTTGATGACCAGGGAATGATCTTTAAGACGATTTTGACTATACCGACTGTTGGTGACTTTGACTTTACAACTACAGCTACACGCCGTTTTTTCTCTGTTACTAAAGATGTTGAAGAAAAATATTCTCTTTGATACCTACAATCTGAACACACGATCTACACAATTACAACGCTAAATTTGAACGTATTGCCTACATTTATCATGAAATATCAGTTGAATTTCTGAAATACAGTAAAACCTCGATAACTCGAAAACCTCTATAAGACGAAAATTTTCTTCGTTCCCTTCCGCTATGCTGTAAGAACGTATTTTACCTCGACAACTCTTATTCAGAAGAATTCCGACCTCTACAAGTCGAAGTTAACTTCTACATATCAGTCAATCGATCCAATAGGATCAACGGTTCAACGATCGTCAATTGTTTATTTCTTCATAAAGCAATTTGTTATGAAAGATCGAAGGAATAAATTGAAGTACAGTTTTCTCAGGATTATACGTAACAAAATGGATTCCAAACGCAAGCGCAAAACATTATCATTGGCTGATAAAGTAGACATAATTGAAACGGTATAAACTGGATCAAAGAAGGAAAAGGATATAGCTAATGACCTCTCCTACTCGAAAACTCGATAAGTCGAAACCTCTGTAACTCGAAGATTTTTTCGCCTTCCCTTGAGGTTCGAGTTATCGTGGTTTCCGCTGTATCCATTTTCTAAAATGACTGACTGTCCCATTCTGGCACGTAGATCGATCGCGAGCCGGTGCAACTGTTGCCGATCCCAGTGCTGAATCTGGGAGACGACGAGGACGAGAGCCCAGGCGTGACAGAAATCCAGCTAGGCGGTTTGAACACGACAGATTCACGATTCAGCGCGTACAAGGGATACACCGGCTGTCTCAGCAGTGAGTGCCACGTTAAATCACCCCGATTGAAAAAGTCTGTCGAACGAAAGAACGTTACGGATTTCGTCTCGACAGCGAGTGGTGGAACCGTGGTTCTAATAGAATACCGTCTTTCTTATGTTAGACAAAACGATCATCAGCCACATTGAGAATACGAAATGACGGATACCCTCTTCTTGTAGACGTCGTGGTATCGATCAACGGAGGGCCTGGCATGAAGCCACTCGAGGAATATATGCTCTTTACGAAACAGGGCAGTGAAACTGTCAGAGCGACGATACCTGCTGGCGTCAGGAGCGCCCAGTGCGCGGTCTTTCACGCACAACCACGTGGCCCCGATCCGCCCAGAAACGATAGCGTGGTAAGGAATCATTTATTATATTGTCATTGTACTAATGAATAATCTACCTTTCTTTCTTTTTCTTTTTTGACAAATTCAGAATTTTTTTTTTTTAAGTTAGGTATCGGTTGGAAAGTATCGGTTAACTTATTTCTAATTGTTCTGTACGGTTTTGTTTCGCGTTTCTGCTAATATTTTCTGAAGATTTGAGATTTGAGATCTGAATATTTTCTAAAGATTTGAGATTTTCGAATTTCTAAAGATTTGAGATTTAAGATATTCTGAATATTTTCTGAAGATTTGAGAATTGATATATTCTAAGTATTTTCTTAAGATTTGAAAATTAATATTTTCTGAATATTGTCCCAAGATTTTCAAATTAATATTTTCTAAATATTGTCTGAAGATTTCAGATTTCCCGAAGAATCATTTTTCCTATTACCACATCTAACACTTCCAAACAACAATTCCACCAATCACAAAACCCCAAATTGCTGAAAAATAAAAACCATTCAAACACACCACGAAGTGTATCAAATTCAAAAAACAATTGAAAGGAGTGAAAACTTTGTGTCGAAGGGTCGTCAAGACAGAGCCTGGGTGGAGGATCCGCCAGAGAAGATACTGTACAAGTCACAGTACTCCAACGCGACGCAGGAGGAACAAGGTGCTGGTACTTACATCTTCATCGTGCTGTGCTGCGTGTTTGTGAGTGCAGTGATAGGCTGCATCTACGAGGTTTGGCGAAGTGCTCGTAAAGATAGGCGTCGTAGACGTGCCGCAGGAGTCGCAGGATCGTCGCCAGTGTCAGCCTCTAGCTCGCAAAGATGGCAATCGCAACAGTACACGGATCCGTTGGCGGGTGGTGTGAAAACTGTCGGTTTCAAGAATGTGGAAGACGAGAAAAGACCGAATGGCACGCACATGAAACCCACGGGCAAAGAGTACAAGCCGCTGACCAACGCGGATTCGAAAGACATAGTTAACGATAAAAGGGTTCATATTAAAGGTAGGTAGCTTTTAACTCGAAGTTTGCCCAGAAATACGAGGTGTAGTTTCTATATTCTTCTACGTTAGATTTCTGACCTGCTTGAATTTTTCTTCTAACGGACCAATTATTACAAGGCTAATTTGCAGATTTAGAATAGGAAGACGACTTGAGAAGTTTTTAGGGTAAAATACAACACGCCCCAGATTTAAAGAAAAATCGACAGATTTTTCAGTAATTCTTCGAAAAGAATTTTAATTCTTCAAAAAGAAATTGCATCGATTTATTGGATATAACAAAAAGTACCAGAAAATAATTGTTTTTAACATAGATGGCGTATTTTGTAGCACAGAACTGGGGTAAAACGCCCCTAAAAAAATAAGCCATTACTTTATATTATTCTCAAAAAAATATTTGAAACAAAATCAAGGAATAATGGAATTAGGACGAAAAATAGAATATCTAATGAAATTATCGTATTGCCTCGTTGAGATCTTTTTGGGACCACGATGCCCTTAATATTTGTCCTTAATGATCATTTTGATATCCTCATATTTTTTCGTGGTATTTCCGTCAATAATTAGTAAACAAAATAAATTTTTTCTAACTTCACTTGAAACAGAACTCTAGCCTGGTCTAGTTATTTTAAAAACACCCTGTATATTGAAAGATGAACAATGTGTAGGTAGATTATTAGAAACAAGGTAAATCGTGCAGCTTTGAAAGATATTCTTGAGGATTCAGCGTATTTTTATTTCACCCTCTATATACATTACCCAATTTTTCTTGGCTAATAAGAAGCAAACATATAATTAATTGTAGTTTTCCCTATTGCGCGATAGAAGATCAGTTAACCTAACCTAAAGAGTTAAACTAATACACAGAGCTGTTTTATTGTTTTAATCTTTTGTCTCTATAGTTTTCAATCTTTTGTCGAAGGTTTGATTGATTTCTAATTATGCCTTACAGCAGATGAAGAACCAGAGAAGAAGGAGCTCCTAGGGGTAAATACAGGCATCATCACTAAACCTCCGAAACCAAATCCATTCGTAAAGATTTTTTCTTTTTTTTATAAAAATTACGTATTAAGTTCTAAGCAGCATGCAAAGTGGACTTTGGAACAGATTTGTCAATAATAAATGGTATTTCAATGAGAAATGTCCTTGCTTCAACGTTGCAGCAGCAGAACACTGTAATACAATTGATCACTTTGCTAAAAACTGTGTCTACTTTGCAGGCTCCCTTCGAAATGCTTTAAAAACTATTCGAAATAAAGAAAAACCCAGCTATAAATACAAATTAATTTAATAGCTCTAATAGCATGAGAAACATTTTACTAAAGCCTGCACTGATATCGTCAAAATTGCTGCAAAAAATGATAACTAGCATTTAAAAAAAATGAAAGTAAACTTTTGATTATTTCTAATTTGTTAATTATACCAGTTCACTATTTTGCTGTTGCATGCTCCGAAGTACATATACGTTTCTTACCGATCTTTCGATTCAAATAAATAGAATAGAACAGAACTTGCAATATCGAGCTGCTGAAAGAAGAGTCTAAGACTTATAATACTCACCGTGAGAAATAAAAAAATGCATAATCAATCTCATTTTGTTTTCCATTTGAATACAAGGCTAATATTTCAATGTCCTTCGAAAAGACTCACTTATGACATCGAATGCTCGTGAGTACAAAAGTAGATTTTATTTCAAAAGCATTTTTATTCTAAGAACAATATATTGATTAAGCATTTTTTACTCTTCTCGATGAGAATTATTAGGTTCATGCAAAAGTTTCCTTGGTTTGTAAATTAATGGCACTGAAAGGTACTGTGTGTGTATCTTTTCTTTTTTAAATTTTCACAATTGGTATTTACGACGATAAATATATATTGGGTAGTTCGAAAAGTTCGTAGCGAAATGTAGGAAAAATTCAAACTGATATATCTCTGTTTCTAATTGAGATATCGATAAAAACCAAAAGGTATTTTACTCGTTGTTTGAAGACAAATTACTCCCAAGACGAACTATATTTTCCGCGGTGGAGCTTTGCCACGAAAAATTCAAAATCCACGCTCCACTGCAGAAAACATAGTTCGACTTATATCCACCCCTGTTTATCATACGAATAATTCGAGAAGTGCGTTCGATTCACCTTCAACTGTCGAGGAAATTACCGTTGAACTTTTATCACTATGTCGATTAGAAACAGAGATACGATGGTTCAAATTTCGCTACGAAATTTCCAAACAACCCAATAGTATTAATATTATATTATTATTACTTTAACACTTTACCGACCGGTAGCCTATTAATCGGCTTTCTGCCGCCAACGCTTACCGACCGGTAGCCTGTTAATCGCTTCTTTACCACCGACGCTTTTCGACCGATAGCCTATTAATCGGTATAAGAAAAAGCGCATATATTCCCGAGCGATAGCCTAGAGTCTAAACAGAGCCGGTGTCAGCGATGTACAGTATATTCTCCACAAGTGTCAGACCGCAAGGAAGATAAACCTGACACTCGTACAGTCAGGGACTAAGTTTTCGAGCCTCGCGCCCGCCTTTGTAGTTTGCCGAACGTAGTCAAGGACAGCGAATAAAAGATAAGCATGAAACGTGAGTCGAGGCAACCAAGCGATTTAAATATCAACTTTTTTAATTTTATGTTTTTTTATTCCGAAATTTTCCTTAACATATTGATGAGATTTTTCTGATGAAAATGACATAAAACACGACGTAATTTGAACAACATTTACTTATTAACACGTTCACTGTCACGCCAGATTTACAGGTTGCTGTCAGGCGGCCACAAGAAAATACATTTTAAGCATGTACATTAAGCAGCTCATATTTGAGCTGGCAATACACAACAAAACTACTAAACCAAATTAATCACCAGAAAAATTTTCAATATTATTATTGAAGTAAACTTTCGTAGAACGAGAGTGAAAAATTGAAAGAATCAAAAGAAAAAACGCGAATTCGTATCTTTTTCGATTCTAGAATATAAAAAAATTTGAATAAAATAGGCGACGAGAATTGGGGAGAAGCATAAGTTAAACGCGTAAAAATATTCAATAATAAACGAACTAGGAATGAAGCTATTATTTCAATACAGGATGCACTGACTCTAGTATTTACTAAAATTCAAAAATTCTCGTATAAATTCCGAAAATAGATTATTAATTACGGTAAACTACTGAGACGGTTTAATTTAGCGCACTCGTTCCAAATCAGCTCACAATATACAATAATAAATCAACTAACTACTTAACATGCAATTCATGCAAATTCCTTGGATGGTAAATTATTAGTAAACAAAATTCAATATCAGAGAAAATATATGAAAAATTTAAAATTAATTTCAATTGCTGGAAGAAAAGTAACCTCTCAACCTCTCAATTTCAATATCCTATTCGACAAGTCTGAAGAACAACGATGACTAAAATTCAAATGTTTATTTCCCTAAACCTTCAAAATAATTTCGAAATATTTTATTCGAAGCGGAGTATTCCAAGTCAGTATCGATAATTGAAGAAATTATTTGATTGTATTTAAAAGAACCGAAAGGAGAATATTTAAAGTCTGATATTAAATGTCTAGCAAGTACCAGTAATTGGTAAAATGATTTATATTTGTTTTAAAAGGAAAATTTCTAATAGGTATTAGTTAAAATGAATTGTTATTCAGTCTACTGTATTGAAATTCTAATTGATTCTAATGTATACAAGTGTTACAAGAAGGCTGAGTGTGTACAGGGTGGACACTGACTCTAGTATTTACTAAAATTCAAAAATTCTCGTATAAATTCCGAAAATAGATTATTAATTACGGTAAACTACTGAGACGGTTTAATTAAGGGTGGGCATGGTGCTGCTTTAGTTTGAAATGATTTATAAACACATAATTAACAGAGGAAAAACCGTGAAACGGCAAAACGTCTACATTCTAATTGTTATAACATGTAAACAGAACTTTAAATTTAGTGTAAACAGAAAAAATATATAATACAATTTATTTCACGGTATTGCAACAAATAAACGTTGAATCAATATTTAATTCGTATAAAAACAATTATTTAACGTAATAATTTTACCTTCACTATGGCTATTTTTAATCTACGACCACAGGTCAACCTGATTTCTAATCCTTACGAACTTTAAATTCAGTCTAAACTGAGAAAATATATAATACAATTTATTTCACGGTATTGCAACAAACAAACGTTGAATAGATTCTTAATTCGTATAGAAACATTTATTTAAAATAATAATTTCACCTTCACTATGGCTATTTTAAATTTACGACCAAGGGTCAACCTGATTTTTAATCCTCCGAACTTGATTTCACAACGAGAAAGTAATAAGATCGTTGAAACGTACTTATTTGTCAAAGAAACTTGCAAAAATGTATAAATAATAATATGTAATGTTTTAACAAATTTTTGGAAGTATAAATTAATAATAAAATTGTGAAAATTAATAAATTATACGTTATTATAACATTAATAGAATTATGACTAAACCGAAGTTCGAAGTCGAGTATTTAAAGTCTGATATTACGTGCCTAGCGAGTGCCGGTAATTGTTAAAATTTGTTTAATAATTAGTAATAGAAATTCTAATTGATTCTAATGTATACAAGTGTTACAAGAAGGCTGAGTGTGTACAGGGTGGACATAGACTAGCTAGTAGCCCCCGACCACTCTATTCACATCTCAGAACCTTCAGGTCAAAATACGCCGCGAAGTGTCTAGGGCCCAGTATAAAGGGTAAATGATTTCGCGGGACATCGGCGGGTCCTTATATACCTGCGGTACCCTCTCCCCAAAGTCATTAGCAAAATCGTCGGTTAGGTCAGGCGGGAAATTTTCGCGGGAGATTTTCGCGGGAGATTTCCGATATCGTAACACGGTATAATTTATCAATTTTCACAATTTTATTAAAAATTTATACTTCCGACAATTTGTTATAACATTGCATATAACAATTTATACGTTTTTACAATATTCTTCAATGGAAACATAGGTTTTAGCGTTCTCGTTACTTACTCGTGGTTAAATTAATTTCGTAGGGATTAAAAATCAGGTTGACCTGTGGTCGTAGATTAAAAATAACCATAGTACAGCTAAATTTATCGTGTTAAATAATTCTTCTTACACGAATGAAAAATGTATTCAACGTTTGCTTGTTACAATACCATGAAATAAATTATTTGTGCAGTTCTGTGCATTTTCTGTGCAGTTCAACCTAATTTACTTAAATTTACATTGCGAGACAGTATACTGTAACAAGTAGTAACAAGCAAACGTTGAATAAATTCCTAATTCGTATTAAAAAAATTATTTAACACAATAATTTCAGCTTTATTATGATTATTCTTGATAAATGACCACAGGTCAACTTGATTTTTAATCGTTATAATCTTTAAATTCAGTGTGAATAGAGAAAATGTGTAATATAATTCATTTCACGATATTATAACAAACAAACGTTGAATACATTTTTGATTCGTAGGAAAAGAATTATTTAACACGATAATTTTAGCTGTACTATCACTATTTTTAATCTACGACCACAGGTCAACCTGATTTTTAATCCCTACGAAATTAATTTAACCACGAGTAAGTAACGAGAACGCTAAAACCTATGTTTCCATTGAAGAATATTGTAAAAACGTATAAATTGTTATATGCAATGTTATAACAAATTGTCGGAAGTATAAATTTATAACAAAATTGTGAAAATTGATAAATTATACCGTGTTACGATATCGGAAATCTCCCGCGAAAATCTCCCGCGAAAATTTCCCGCCTGACCTAACGGACGATTTTGCTAATGACTTTGGGGAGAGGGTACCGCAGGTATATAAGGACCCTCCGATGTCCCGCGAACTTATTCACCCTTTATACTGGGCCCTAGACACTTCGCGGCGTATTTTGACCTGAAGGTTCTG